CAGTAGTGGAAATTGAAAATCTGAATGTATTCTCTGAAGAGAGGGTTTTTAGTGGACCACGGCGTAGGCGAGCTGAGGGTGGGGCAGAGCCTCGACGGGCAGCAGAACAAGGATACGTGTATTTTGTGCAACAAGATAACACAAAATTCATCAAGGTTGGCCGAAAAAAAGATCCTAAAAGACGCCGAACAAATCTTCAAACTGGAAATCCTCGAGAATTGAAGATGTACTACAGGCATGTCTTTGATATGCTTGCAGCAGAGCATGCCTTGCTAGAGAAAATGAAACACTTGAATAACTGGAATATCCGAGGTGGAACGGAGTGGTTCCACGTTCCTGATGTAGACAGAGCTAAGTGGGTCTTTATGGGGGTTGTTCAGCGATTCAACTGTTAGTAGCTATGTATGTCTGACTGCAAAAAGCTGTTACCAACTATGCCATTGTACAGTTTTCCATAAAGAATAAAGATTATATTTTACACACCAAGGGAACGACAGTCTTCTAAAAGTGGGCGCAGAGATTGTAAGTAGTAAGTAGCAATGTCTAACTATGATAACATTCCCATCCTTGGATAACCTCATGTGCTCAATCAATGTATACAATCAAAGGGTAAAATGTACATTGGGAATCTGGAGCAGATGGTGGTGTCCAAGAAGTAATGTGAAATGCAATGAAAAACCTTCTGTCCGTCCGTCCGTCCGTGTGTCTGTCTGTTACCCCGTTTTCTGCCACCACGCGCCAACGAGACAACGAAATAGCGATAATTAAGTGGTATTAGACCTGGAAAAACTTATAAACAGGCGGAATCCACCAAAACAATTACCCATTGGCATCGCGTGAAATGTATATTATACTCCGTCTGTGTGCTTCCCGTATGCCTGTATAGCTCAAAAAGTTGGCTACTCACCGAGCCTGTACTTGGCACATTGGAGAAATTCCAAGGTGACCTTGGGAAGAAGATACCAGACATCCCCAAGCACCACTCAAACCTTGTTCCCTGGTCACATTGAAAGGAAGCTGGGGGTTTCTCTGGCATACTCTCCACCCAAAGAAAACATCAATCTATGTCAATGTGTTCGAGTCATCATGAAAATTCCACAGGCCCAGTCGTATTATTCATAGATATTTATTTTTTCCGTATTATTTTGTTTGCTATATACCCTGTGCTGGTCGCGCACTAATGAACTTTTTTGAACTTTTTTTGAATTGATGGGCTGGGTTATTACTCGTGGTCGTCTCTAAACTATAGTGTAAGTAGTGTAGCTTATATAATGGTTTCGTGCCCAGACCCCACCCAAAAAATGGAGTTTGACACGGGCTAGCTACAGCGGTTTTCATTCTTCTTCCACCTTCAAAGCGCAAAGCGGTGTGTGCATGCGCGTGTTTCGAGGTCTTTATCTGCTTGTCTTCAGTGTGGCTTCCTTTGAGCCTCCCTTGGACTAGTCAGTATATACACTAAAAAACTCCACTTGGCACAATCTAGCCGGGCTCAGGTTCTGTCGTTGATAAAGGCTTACTTTTTGCCTGAGAGGGACGGTAGGCTGGATCCAGCAAGTCCAAAGGCATTAATGGCAGAAATAATAATAATGATTTTTGTCGACAGTGCTGTAATTTATTTGGGTGGATTTTTCTTGTTTATAACTGTTTTCCAGCAATAATGTTGATGGTTGTGATTTACATGGTCATAGTGTTCTCACTGAACCTCAAAGGGGATTAACAGGAATACTGACTGGATTGATGCCATCCATTGCTCTGTCAGCTGCCTCCTGGTAGCTAGCTACATCAGGAAGAGACTGCTGAAAAGAGAAGTAAGTCGATCGAACATTCAAGACCAGCCAGAGTGCGGATCCAATGATGAGTGTATAAACAACAGAGAAAGAGAAGATGTTGATGGTCAGAACCTGCTCTTCCCATAAAACAACTGCTAACTTGTTATGTACTGTGAGAGTAAATAGCAAGAGAAAACAATGTGTGTATGGGTGACTGTCCCTCTTCCCTTTCCAACATCCATTTACTTCTTGCCTCTTTCCCTACACCTCCTTGTAGCTACACCTCTCCCACTTCATCCTGAATCTGAAGTATATACCTTCTTTTCTTTCTGTAGTGAAACCTCTGATTAAGGGACACCTTGGGCGACCTCAAAAGTATCTTTTTCCGGTGATGTCCCTTATTCGGAGGTAGGTAATTGTATATGAGTGGAATTATTCACTGTTTAACCACGCATGTGTGGATATTCCAGACCACAAACTAATGGACATAATATTTTAATGGATGCGTTCACTGCTCTCTTGGCTAGTTCTTGCAAGGAATATTCGTACCTGAGCCTGACAAGTCACAATGTGATGTATTCATCATCAGAGTTAGCCTTTTCGTTTTTCGAATGCGCATAGCTAGTTATTTTTTCTGATGCCAAACAGTGTGGTGTTGGGTTATGCCTGAAAATAGCAGTACTGTAAGCACAATGTTTTCTAGGAATGAATCAGGTTTTGAAGTGGCACGTTTTAGAATTGATTGTGTTTTGAAATGCAGCATTTTGGAAGCGACCATGTTTTGGTACATCATTTATGTTTGTCACAATGTAATTAAATTCACTCTGCAGTAGTTATAGCCTAAAACGAAGCCCGGTATTTTGGATCATTTGCATGAAGGTTTTAAGCGTGTGATTAACCTTTGGCTCACACGTGCAGCCAGTATATCTACAGTGGAACGTCGTCAATATGAACACTGTTAAAGCGAAATACCTGCTTAATACGAACCACTTTTAAATCCCCAGGCATTATAACACTAATACAACTAGCTACTGTTAAGTGAAATTCCTTTTAATCATATTAATTTTTTGGTGGTCCCCTGGAGTTCATATTCAACTGTACTTGCCTCGTGTGTTTTCTGTTACTGCTATTAGGCCAACGAAATAGTGATACCAATGAAATGATATGAATTGGATTAAAAAAGAAGTCGGTCAGTGATGTGAAATAGGCTGAACCAGATTTAAAAGCAGAAGTACAACATTTTCTAGCCAAATAGTCACTACGCCACACATGTAGCTAGCTAGCACCTTGTCACAAAGAGTCTGGGGTTTTGGGTATGTAGCGTCTAACAACTCTCTCCACCACGCATAAAATTTTTCTTTGGCTTCCGAAGCATGAAACCATTCTTTCCTACCATGTAGCTATACACTGGTTATCTTTACCCCATGCTCCTCTATTTCTGCTAAATCTGGTTCGGCCTTTTTCACATCACTGACCGACCAATTGTTTGTAGAGCGATTGATGGCTCATGAAGTGAGATGTTGAGTAACAGACAGACAGACATACATGACAACTACCTGGACATGCACACAAGTGCACATCGGTAGTGCATGAGTCCTATTGACACCACATGGGTGTGTTCGACCAAGAGCTAGCTGTAACCCTCGCTGCGCATGCGCGCTGAGGGTTATGTAACTGTCACATTTCATTCCAGGCACACCAACACCAGACTACTTCTGTTATCCCATGTGGAGGAAAAGAACTGTGATGTTTGCAGGGTGAATGAAAGGTGTACAAAAACAGCTATCTGTCCTTATAAAATGTGCATCTTTTCACAAAAATAAAAGCTAAACCTAGAACATAAACAATTGGTATGCATAATAATACTGCTAATAAGATAAACGAAGTGTATATATATTCAGGTGATGTTGAGTCATTGTTATTGATGATCATGCTCCAGCATCCAATGACACCAGCAGCAAGCATGACAGCTGTGATGAAGTTGTGCAAAAACTGTTTGAATGGGCAAAGAACTAAGAGAATAGCAATGTAAAGGAGAGCAAAAAACAAGGCATAGTGATAGAATATGCTGCACTGTGTTAAAATAAATGTAGTGTGTATCACTAAAGGAAAAAGAAAAGGAAATACAGAGAAATATCTGTAGTCTCTTGTGCCATTAGTGCCATCTTTGTAATGGCCTTGGAATACATCAATGAAAGTTCTCAGAGCCAAAGAGTTTAAACCAGCTCTATTGAGGACTCTTTGAAAGCAGGAAAAGGGATAAACAAACAGGAGAATGACTGGCAATACAAAAAACAACAGGACCATTACAATTGCCAATAAGGCAAACTTAACATGTTGATTGCCAAAATACACTAATGATGGGTCATTGTAGACACGATTTTTCACTAGCAGTTCTCCATCCAACTTTCGGTAGTATACTACCACAGGCTTCAGAATATTGACAGAGGTTATTAACAAACGAGAAGAAGAGAGGTATAAAAATGAAGCAAACACATCTATCAAAGACTTGTTTACTTTTAACTGCTTACGTAATGGCCCAAGAATCACCACTGTACCAAGCCACACCCACACAATTGGCTTGGTGCCTCTCTTGTGGAGTTTGACAAGAAAGTGAGTTAAAAGTATCAGAAAAACTGGAAATACAACTATTCCATAATCAAGAGTGTTAAGTTCAAGAGGAGTAGCAGTTGGATTAAGGCAAAAGGTGTAGTAAATACGACCAAAATCAAGGTTAAGAAGTGATGCAAATGCTGCATACATTGCCAAAAATTTTCCAAAGTTAAAACCTTGACTAGACCAATTAATAAATTGTAACATGGTTGGACTTGCTGCTAGTTGGAAGAGCATCACTAATCCAATGATAAGTGGAGAAGTAAAGCTGATAGAAAACATGGCCACTAAAATGTAGAATATAGTTAGTGGAAGATATGCCGCTGCAAGATACTTTAGCCAGTTGTACTTGTAGTGTTCACATTTGAAACACTCTTGTTTATAGGAATACACAGGATATGCGTGTCCCTTGATACACTTAGTACACAGTGGTCCACCTCTCTTCAAGCTAGGTGGACACGTGAAGTTCTGTATCTGCGATACATGACAGGGCAATGGATAGTAGGGGGTGATCGAAAGACACTCGTGCAAGCAAGCACCGACAATAAGAACACCGTCTTCCTCTGTCATACAAAAACACTGCATTATGCTTGTTTGAAGAGTAGACATATCTTGTTGTATTATGCCATTCAGGGTCGGTCCTGCTCTGCAATCTCCAGTTTGATTGCCTTGTGTGAACCATGGTGGACACTCAGCAGGCTTACCATCATGGAGCGAAGAAGATACATTGAGAATAGCTGAACAGTTTTTTCCAGTATCATGACCGTCAAGAACTTTACCACTGACATCGGACGCCAGCAGGTATACAACGCAAACTAAGCTTCTAACAAATGATCCCAACATGAGTGAGGAACTGTATCTTCTGTACTTTTTGATCGATTCGGGCAGTTTTTGAGCTGGAGAAACGGTCGTATCATGTAACATTTCTTGTTTTAGTTTCAGTATTTGTAAAAGCCTCAACCTACACCTCACCTTTCCACCTAAAATTCTGGAAAGAAAAGAGCACAAATAAAGTAGCTACTCACACAGTGTTGCATCAACGGAAAAAACATCACACAGTGAACCAAACCATCGACAATATCCAGAAGGTATACACTGCAGCTATATATCTCCCAATATGCAACACACCTCAAAGTACATCATGGTCAACTATAGACGTAATGGGTGGCCTCCTAGTGAAGAGTGAATGATCCAACACTTCACCATTATGATTGAAAGTGTACAAGTGGAAAAATCATTTCTTCAAAATGAAGGGGGATATAGTCTCATATTAAACTTTGCATATGAAGATATAGGGAGTGTCATGTGGCTTTGTGCATATTTGGCGGGTAATGAATAGCCTCTTGTGTCTTCCTTTTTGGTGCTTCGAGTATCCCTATATCCCCATTTTGAAGAAACGATTTTTCAACTTGTTTCCACTATTTTTAATGGCTTATGATAACACTGCATTTTCAGTCACTCTGATGTCATGAGTATGTGGAATGTAGAGATAACTGTTGAAAGCAGAAGCTAATGGACTGCTCTTACCTGAAGCAGGTATGCGTAGTGTCTCCAACAAGGACACGATTAGGTTGTGGCACATATTATGATGGTGGTTTCATTGGGCAGGCTTCAGAAATCAGACTATAATGATAGCTATAACCTGGGGGACAAAGAATGAAGGCGACTGGCAAGGCACGCGAAACATGGCACAGATTGCCGAGTTGCTCCTCGTGCAAATCAACAGCAAAACACAAGCTAGCCACTTTTTGTTGTTTTGTCGCGGAACGCATGAGATTCTACCGACTCTCTAATTAGTACAAGTGGAAAAATCATTTCTTCAAAATGAAGGGGATATAGGGATGGCTTGAAGCACCAAAAAGGAAGAAACAAGGGGTCATTACACAGCAAAGATGCACAAGGCTACATGACACCATCCCTATATCTTTGTATTATTGTTCTCAAGTAAAGTTTAATATGAATCAAAGATATAGGGATGGTGTCATGTAGCCTTGTGCATCTTTGCTGTGTAATGACCCCTTGTTTCTTCCTTTTTGGTGCTTCAAGCCATCCCTATATCCCCCTTCATTTTGAAGAAATGATTTTTCCACTTGTTTTCACTATTTTTCATGCCTTATGACAACACTGCATTTTCAGTCACTCTTATGTTCATGGGGATAACTGTTGAAAGCAGAAGCTAATGGGCTGCTCCTACCTGAAGCAGGGTGTATGCGTAGTGTCTCCAACAACGATGGTGGCACATATGGTGGGGTGGTTTCATAGGCAGGCTTCAGTAATCAGACTACAATGATAGCTATAACCTGGGGGACAAACAATGAAGGCGCTGGGCAAGGCCCGCGTAACACGGCGCACACTGCCAAGTTGCTCCTCGTACAAATCAGCAGCAAAACGCAAGCTAGCCAGTTAAAAATGTGTATACTGACTTACAGAAGGCACTGGGGGATAAGAGTTCCTCTGCAGGCATCCTGGCTTAGTCTGGTTCACGCATGCTAGTAATGCGCGCGCATTGCATTGGTTGGGGAAACGCCCTCCTCGGCGCATGCGGCTCACTGATGCTGAGTTAGCAGAAAATGGCGTTGTCCAGTGACTACCGTGGAAGAGCTCAACGGTCTACCGTAGTGACTTGCGGCAAGAAACAAGCGATCGCTTGACATGCGTGCACACCTCCGGAACATTTGGAGACGTTCTGTGAAAAAATCAACGCTTCAACTGCTTCCGGTAAGGAGCTAGCGGGTCTGAAGAAGAAGAAGAAGATGAAGAATATGATGATGATGACACGATAATCGCGAAATCGCGTAAGAGCGAATTCTCTCGTGGGGAACTGAGGGTACGTAGGAAGTCTTGGGGCATTTGTATAGCTAGGTATTGGCCTCTAGACTATTGCTAGTGATTTTGAAGCCATGGTGAGTCATTCTCGCTGAGTTTTGAGGCGTTTTGTACGCGGATCACGTGAGATTTCACTCGTCTCATCCCTATACAAGTGGAAAAATCATTTCTTCATAATGAAAGGGGGATATAGGGATGGCTTGAAGCACCAAAAAGGAAGAAACAAGGGGTCATTACACAGCAAAGATTCACAAAGCTACATGACACCATCCCTATATCTTTGTCTCATATTAAACTTTACTTCAAGGTAAACTGTTGCAGAATGGAAATGACGGAGACGGCAAGCGCGGCTCTTTCCCAATTAGGGAGGAAAATGTCAGCAGGGCGAGATTGGTTGTGAACAGTAACACAAAGATATAGGGATGGTGTCATGTAGCTTTGTGCATCTTTGCTGTGTAATGACCCCTTGTTTCTTCCTTTTTGGTGCTTCAAGCCATCCCTATATCCCCCTTTCATTTTGAAGAAATGATTTTTCCACTTGTTTCCACTATTTTTCATGCCTTATGACAACACTGCATTTTCAGTCACTCTGATGTTCATGGGTGTTGTAGAGATAACTGTTGAAAGCAGAAGCTAATGGGCTGCTCATACCTGAAGCAGGGTGTATGTGTAGTGTCTCCAACAAGGATGCAATTAGATTGTGGCACATATGGTGGGGTGGTTTCATAGGCAGGCTTCAGTAATCAGACTACAATGATAGCTATAACCTGGGGGACAAAGAATGAAGGCGCTGTGCAAGGCCCGCGTAACACGGCGCACACTGCCAAGTTGCTCCTCGTGCAAATCAACAGCAAAACGCAAGTTAGCCACTTACAAAATGTATATACACTGACTTACAGAAGGCACTGGAGGATCGTGGATCAGGCAAAATGCGCGCGCACCGCATTGGAAACGCCCTCCTCGGCGCATGCGGCTCACTGATGCTGAGTTAGCAGCAAATGGCGTTGTTCAGTGACTACCGTGGAAGAGCTCAACGATCTACCGTAGTGACTTGCGGCAAGAAACAAGCGATCGCTTGATATGCGTGCACACCTCCGGAAAATTTGGAGACGTTCTGTGAAAAAATCAACGCTTCAACTGCTTCCGGTAAGGAGCTAGCTGGTCTGAAGAAGAAGAAGAAGAAGAAGAAGAAGATGATGATTATGATGACACGAAAATCGCGAAATCGCGTAAGAGCGAATTCTCTGGTGGGGAACTGAGGGCACGTAGGAAGTCTTTGGGCATATGTATAGCTAGGTATTGGCCTCTAGACTATTGCTAGTGATTTTGAAGCCATGGTGAGTCATTCTCGCTGAGTTTTGAGGCGTTTTGTACGCGGATCACGTGAGATTTCACTCGTGTCATCCCTATATAGAGCGTCTACCGACGCTCTGATAACACATGACTGCTATTGAAACAGCATACAAGAATAATGGCAGCTATCAAGGAGCACAGACTCATATTAGAGGTTGGAGGGTACATTGGGAAGGGAATAGGCGAAAGAGTGATTGGTGAAGTTAGATACAAACATGAGCAGGAAGAGTGCTTAACTACCAACAATAGTCCGACTTTGATAAACAGACTTAATGTTTGTGCTACACACTGAGACTGTGTGTACAATTCACTATTCACTGGGCAACACACAATCACACACACACAGTCACAAAAAAAAAGGATCTCATACTTTGACAAACAGACTTGATGTTTGTGCCACACTGGGACTCTGTGTACAATTCACTATGCACACACCACACTCGGCGACAGATCACTTGAAATGTTAAACTTTATTAAGAGGGTCCTTTTTCAGAGATTCCACTGTCAGCAGTGTAGTTTTTCGTGCTGAGAATGCAGTTCAATATTAATTCAGTACTCCTTACTTGACATATGCTATTCTGTTTGGCCTTGTTGTGCGATAGTAGGTAAAACTCCCATAGTAATATTATGGTGGATAGCTGACACCCCCACTCATATGCACACTCACAGAGAGAGAGAGAGAGAGAGAGAGAGAGAGGGAGGGAAGGAGGGAGGGAGGGAGAGATACACACAGTCACAAGAATCTCAGACTTCGATAAACAGACTTGATGTTTGTGCCACACTGGGACTGTGTGTCCTGTATTCAGAGGTAGTATAGTGCACTAATGCATTAGTGCGGGGCAGAACCAAACATGCTGGGATAGTACATTAATAGGGTTGAATGGAAGAGACACAGCTAAGTAACAGAGCAACAGCACACACATGCGTTGTAAAAAAGCGAGGACAGGTATCGTAGTCATTTATGTACGTAGCTATAGAAATAAACACCTGGGTGCAACTAGCACGCACAAAAGCTGCAGAGCAGTTAGCTAGCTACTAACAGTGAAAAAAACTCTCTGTTTTAGACGTCACGAAAAAGGACGAATCACAAAAAAACGGCGGTAAACCATCAATATTCGCTAACCTGAATGCCCTCTTTGATCCAGCAGCTACCTGTCTCTCTACCTTTCAATCCTCCCCTTGCTCCCTCTTTTTAGTTATGGCGCGCCGTTTGTGTCAACCGAAATTTTCCTCAGTAATCGTGGCGACGAATCGTTTTCTGGGCGACGAATCGATTTTCGGGGCGACGATTATACTTTCGTAGCGACGATTCTTCTTTCGTGGCGACGAATTTCTACGGCTAAGATTGTTGATCAAGCGACGAAAGCTTCTCAAGGGAACTAATCTTGGATTTAGGGCGACGACCAGTAATGCGGCACGTATAGATATTTCGTGGGAGAGTTCAAAGGTTAACTTACTCCAGGCGGGACTTTGGAAGGGACCGATCAATGTATATATATACTACAGGCGCACTCTTGGCACTCTAGGGAAGTTGGCCTTTCAACTCTCCCACCCGATCACAAAAATCGTCGCTTTACCTGATCTGACGGCAGTGATCGCTTACCGCCGCTTCAAGCCAAGATATATTTCGCCTTTGTCAGAATAAACAATCGTAGAAATTCGTCGCCGCGAAAGAGAAACGTTGCCACGAAAGGAGAATCGTCGACGCGAAAACGAAAGATCCGTCACCCCAAACGGCGCGCCATATTTTACCCTCGGCGCGCATGCGCAGCGAGGGTTACGGTAGTCGTGTCTGTGTGTGTCTGTCTGTCTGTCTACGACTACACTATTCTCGCACTACAGGCTACGAGGCGGCTTATGAGCGATACCAACAGCTTCAGCGGTATATATCTACATGGGCTAGAAAAATGAAATGGCGATTTTGCTGAAATGACTGCGTTCGAGAGCGACAAACTGACACAGTAGCGGACAGCGTTGCGTGGCCCAACCCATCAATAAGCAGTGCGCATGCGTGTATTAGAGGCAGTATGCTGGCTCACCTCGAACAGCTCTGTGTACCTTGGAGGCACAAGAAGCCACAGCGAAGGGTGTGTATCACACCGCATACCGCATGCAATCTACTACTGTATCCGCAAGCTATATACCAGCGGGAGACCGCGCCAATAGCCCAGCCCGCGCGCCCACCATTAGCGGTACCGCGCATGCGCAGTTCGCCGATGTCGTTGCCGACTTAACTTTTGCGCGTGCGTATAAAAAACATTACGCATGCGCACAATTGTTACGGACTGTTTATGGCGCGCCGTTTGATTTTTCCCCGTAAACCTCCGTAATCAGGGTGACGGATCTTTTTCGGGGCGACGAATCGTTTTCGCGTCGACGATTCTTCTTTCGTGGCAACGTATCTCTTTCGCGGCGACGATTGTTTATCAAGCGACAGAATTCTGTCACAAAGGCGGCGGCGACCAGGTAAAGCGATCACTGCGAAGATTTTTTGTGATCGGGTGGGAGAGTTGCTACAGGGAGTAGTGAGATACACTGTCAGTAATGGAAAAATTAAGTGGCAGACCTAATGGTGACGGTCATGAAGTGCTCAGTCATAAAATAATGCAGTCAGCGTAGTCAGATGTTACACTTGAGTCTAAATACGTGTGGCATTCCATGAATATAGGGCAGCGTTGATAACTGGAGACACCTATCGTCATAAAATAAGAGAGTTGGTTGTAACCGAAGATCATGAAATCAGAAGTCTTTAGATACTGTATAGCTACTCACATTCAAGGGCGAACCCAGACCTCCATCTTCTCTTCCAGGTTCTCCTTGGCGACACAGAGGATGTATATAGCATAGAGAGGGGTGCATTTTCTGACCTTCCAAAAAAGGCTCAGGCAGACCCCCACGTCTTATCAATTGCATTTTACGATCTAGTGGAGAATGGGCACTGCTTGAGGATGCTCATGGACATCACATCAGACATAATGCAGCAATGGATCTGAAGACTTCAGTGCTGATTCTCCTCTGGACACACGAAACGGGAAGGACATCAGCTTGTTTCAAAGAGCTCCATCACAGTATAGATGGCCAGTTTAGTAGGTGGTTTCAGTCCCAAGCTCTGGATTCAAGCAGTTCAGCATAATTACATAAGGGGTGACAGAAAACCATAAAAGGCACCCAACTGACCATTTGTGAAAAGGCAGGTCAAGCTTATGTACACATTTGATAAAGCAACAATTGCTACACATGAACCTTGTCGTTCCTACCTGTTTTGTTTCCTGTACACACTCACATTTGTGGGGTATAGCTACCAGTATTTCTCACTATATTTCAGGCACGCAGACTATAATTTTCCTCAAATTATAGAGGCTAACAATTGGACTGCGAGAAGTAATTTGTGACCTCCGGATGTTTTAGAACTCACGTGGGTATTGTCACAGGAGGCAAAGCGGGTGGAGGCAAAACAAAATGCAAGATGACTTATGCACCAAGGAAAACAAAGAAATCCACGAGAGCAAAACTTGGTGTGACTCTTACCCTACCCTGCAGCAATGTTACCTTTCTTCACTGGAACCTTTAGTGAATCACGTTGTGTATTTTTCACAAAGAGATGATTCAAGGAAGCGTCTGAAGGGTGTACAGAAAACAGATTATGTCCCAAACAATCACAAAAACGTGACAATCATTGTGAAAACGCTAAGTAGTAGGGGTGAGGGAGTCGGGAGGGGGGGGAGCGGTAGAAAAGAGGAAGGAACCTTTGGGTGCTGTAAAAACGCCGCCACAAGCACGGCGACAGAATCGCGCGATTTTCGGTTCGATGACTCTACGTGTATATATAATTATGCGTATATACTCGAGGCATGAGTCGGTGAGTGTTTGCCGACCCGAAATGTATGGCTCGGTGCACTTTCGCTATTGGCTACTACTAATGATGGCGTGCCCAGCAGCCATGAAGACTAGTGAGAATTGTCCCGATATTTCCAATGGACCCCCGTATTTCAACCGGCTATACTACAACCTCTATACGAAGCTCGAAGAAGCTCTCATCAAAAATCATGGAGCTCTAAATAACTTGAGAGCTGGTCTTGTAAGTACGAAAACCATTCCCCTCAATTTTGATGTGAGAATTGAAGCAGTAAATGTAACTAACGTATCTTGTGGCGGCTATGAGTCTAATCCTGCATTTTTGTTATTCAACCACTAACAATACTTGGTACCTCTGCCGCCAAACGACATTTACTTTTAGATCAGAAACTGTGAATAACTTGGAATATGAGGAGAGGATGAAACCAATTGATAATTCTATAACAATTCTTTCCCTCATACACACAAACGTGCTGTCAATTTACCTTTTCCTACCTTTGTTTGATGGTGAATTTTATCATTATGACGAAAGCAGTGACTTTACACTGGATTTAAAGGTGGAAAATTTGACCTGCAATCCATCATGGCAACTGACAAGCTGTGTTCTATCAGAGTTGCTAAGTTGGGTAAGTAGCTAAAGCAGCAACATAACTAAATTTTTG